TGACTGTGACGGCTACGGGCCATAAAATCTCTTCCTGCACAGTTTGAGATTTGGGCTGCTGCTGCTCCACACACACACACACACACACACACACACACACACACACACAGTATATAGATGTAAGAAACAGAACAGGCAGAAATGGTTGGATACTGGTTTCTGTGCCAAGAGGTTAAAAAAATAATTTCACTAAATCTAATCTACGTGTATTGTTTAAACTAGGATGTGCAAAGTACATAAAGTGTAATTTATTAGGAATATGCTCGTCTTATTCTAGTTCATCTTAAAAATGTACTGCAAGTCATTTATAAACATACAATGTTTGGCCAGCCCAGATAATACAATCCGACGACACAGACTCAGAACATTTTTGATGCTCAACGTAGGAAATAATTCCTCTGAACAGACGACTAGCAACAACAAAAGTCAGGACAATAAACAAAATAACTGATCCTCGATCCTCTCCGCTGCTCCTCTTCCTCTCTCTCTCTAACATCTGCATCCTTTTCCTCGTCTTCAGTGTCAAGCAACGCTCGTGTCCACCGTAAGCCTTTACCGCTGCTTATGACCTTATATGGTCAACTGCTCCACGCTGTTGAACAGCCTGGTTGAGTCTCAGCAGGAACCTCCTCTCGTCAGAGAGACGTTTTGACCCAAAAGACGCTCACAGCCGAGGAATGCAGACAGACTCCTGGTTCAACATGATGTCAGTGTTTAGCTTCTCTAACCCTCAGAGAGGAGCGACTCTAGCTTCTCTACACCTCAGACTCTCTCCTCTGGAGCTCAGCAGCGAGGTTTGTTTTAAGAACACGTCGGTGGATCCCAGTGAAGCGTCTCTTTAGGATTAAATGGATCATGTCCCTTTAATAGAGCTTTGGGAGTCATTTTAAACCAGATAAATGATTCTTTAACTCTAAATCAGTCGCACCAAACTTTAAAACTATCTTAAAATGAAGTAAGTTACACTTCTTTACTCTGAAACGAGATTAAATAGAATTCTGTGGCACCAAAACTTTAAACTCCAGTTTAAATGTGAACCAGTATTATCTTTAAACTTACACTTGAGGACATTTAACTATTAAAAAAAGCCGCCTTTTTGAGATGGATTGACTAAAATAATGAAGTTCCTCTCAGTTTATCTCAAAGGAGGATAAATTAATCTGTATCTTGTATAATGTTTAAATGCATTATATAAATATATATACTGTATAAATCACCTTGCCTGAGCTGCTAATGGAAGTCCTCTTTAATGGAACATATTTTAGTTTGTAATAGAAGAGGAGCAGCTGATGAAATATTGAGTCCAGGCTTCACTTTCTACCTTTTCAAACATGGTCGACAAACGTTGTACTTTCTCCAGAGGAAGCTGTGAGCTACATACTCGCTCGCCATTTTGCAAAGATTGTGCCATTTTCATAGAATCAACAGCGTTCATTTTTTAAGGTTCTCTGGACGAGACGATCGGCTAAATCACCTCAAATCTAAAAAGTAAGAGTTTTAAAGCGAGCCGAGCGAAGTGTTCGCTGCTTGTGGACGATGAAATATTTGTCTGAGGTTGGTCAGTGTGTGTGTGTGTGTGTGTGTCTTTCCTTGTAGCACAGTTACACAAAGTTGATGACTGTATTGTGACTCAGCCCACAGGGTGAATGAGCTCAATAGAAACGCTCTGCAAAGACGTTGTTCGGACATCAATGAGCAGTCCGGTCTGAGTCACGTTCATGAGTCACTGTCTGGCAGCAGGTCTGAGCTGCAGACCAGAACCTCGGTAGTCACCGGCTATGGAGCCGTTTAGTTCCAGCCGCCTGCAATCAGACTTCCTGTTTCTGCAACACCAATAAGAAGCCTTTGACAACTTTAACTGTGCTGTTGTTTGAGTTGTCTTGTACGTCTGTAGAGTTTTATTTCTTTAAATGTGTCTGCTTTCCAGAGAAAGTCCCACAATGCAACAGAGAACTCTAAATGATCTAATCTGACTCACACAACTTCAGTTTAACAGAACTGCAGTGACGATAATGTCCCAGCCCGGCACAGTGTGCTCGTTGTCTCAACTCATTACCTCGGCCCTGTCTCTGTTGGAAGTCGGCATGAGCTTAATTGAGCGTAACGTCACCTAAACACACAGGTCGTCCTGAAAAGAGCAGCTACAGCGACCTGCAGACAGGAACCCTGCGGCCGCTGGAGACTAACGGCTGAAGTCATCCGGCTGCAGCTTACTGCACACATGCGTTTTAATGGAGGTTAACTAGTTCAGGTTACAAACAGGTCTCACTGACCACCATATGTTTGGTGATCCTGCTCCAGTCACAGTGTCTAACAAACAACCAGGAAGTCAAAATAACAGCAACATCTGGAAGGATACGGACCCCCAGGCCTCCATGGGAAATGCTTTTAACTGCTCAGCCACCGGTTATATGTTCTGGATTAGATTTCAGTTCAAATAATGAACAGGGAGACTTTAAAAAAAGCACATTTCTAATTGGTTACACTGCGCTGACCCAGGGGTCATAAGTCAACTGAGCAGAAGAAAATGTCTGCAAGAATCATATGAGGGTCATCCATAATGAACTATATGATCCTAAATAAACATACAATGGACGCATTTTAGATTATATTCTAAATATAATCCCCGTCTGGGTAGAAAACACACTTTCTGAGAACCTGCAGAACATTTTAAGTCACATAGCAGACTTTTTTTTCTTGCATGACCAAATTCCATTAAAAACGCCCTTAAATGTATGAACACTTGGTTAAAAGCTTAAGTACATGCCTATGAATACATAACTTCATATCGAATAAGCACTGCTGAGAGCAGCTCTACAATTCGGTAGCTGATTAATTTTAAACAACAACTCTTTGGTGAATTAGTTTGCATTTTACTGTGCAGATGAGTCTGTGGTCGGTGAACCAAAACATCAATATTGTAATAACTAGAAGGCGTTCTTGCATGATATCCATGCAGAACTTTGCATCGGCGTGTGTTGTTTTGCTAAATAATTGGTAACTTTTTTTATGAGCGTTTAATTCCTGTTTTTCTCAATGAACGTGACTCTTTCGAAAGAAAAGCCGAAAAACAAAACATCAAAGTCGGTGCTAAGGCTACTTTTCTCGCCACCTGCCCCGTGTCTCTGCACACCTTCTCAGGGCGTTCCCCCAGTCTGAGGGACCGAGGACACAAGGAAAGGAGGGAGGGAGCGAAGCTTACCTTCTTTACTTCCTTCTCTATCTCCATTTTTTATTTTGGTCCGTCGGCGCGATGTTTACTCGGTCAAAAACAAAGCGAAGAGATGAACAAACTGTCAAAAACCACAAAGTGACAGAAAACGGACCGGAGAAATACTACAACAGCCCGGTTCACTCTCCGGTTCCTTTCCTCGGAGGTCCTGCTAAACACTCGTGTCAAGTTAAACAGAATTACCAAAATGGTTTCCGGTGAGCACTTTCAAACGCCTTCAAAATAAAACGCTTGTTCGCCATGTTTACCTTTTGGAATATCGTTTTACAAACTGTTCTGTAACTAATTACCTTAAAAACTATTTGACTAATAACATTATGAAAAGCAAGAATCAAGAGATGAACATTTTATGTGGGACAATAGAAAAATGTATAAAAGACAGAGAGATCATTTTAAATATATGATAACATTTTAAATAATAATAAGTAAATACAAGAGAGTGGATCACTTATGTAAATTAGCAGCATTCAGACAGCAGTGTCAGGCAAGTTGCAAAATATGATCAAGTTCACAGTAACTGACAAATGTACACCTACTTTACGGCCACAAATAGAAATTCAAGTCACCACAAGATCAGCATATAATCAGTGTATAAAAAGTTATTTTGATGGTCTAATAGTTGCACATTGAATACATTTGATCCACATAAAAATAGCTTTGTTAAACCCATAAAAACGATTGAAAATAGATTGAAGAAAATATTTTATATCAGGTTCAAATAAAAACACACAATACCACTAATGAAGATACAATTGGCACAAAACTGCCCTCTAAACACTTCTACAAATTTGACTACCACCACACGGTCACTTCACACCGTTTTTAACTTACATATTATGAAAACTGCACGTATGGTAAAGCAGACTTAACAGTTGTCATTCAGGCATTTTTCTTTCTTTTACTTTGAAAATACAGATTCCTTACTTCCGGAAACACGTTTACGTCTTCTCTCGAGCTTGATGCTGCTCTCACTTTGGAGGTCCCGTTCACTTTTCATTGATTTCAAAGGGGGGGACTTCCGCTATGATATATCTTCATATTGACCAATAGGAATAGAGAAAGTGGGCAATAGAGCGCAGGACGACCAATCGGAGAGCAGAAGGGGCGTGTTCTTGTCACACAAAGGATGTGATGGTGTTTAGACCGTTTTGACAGATTCAACCTGTTTTAGTGGGCTACTGAATCAAGATGCTGTTTTCTTTTTATTGTCATGATGTTTGTTTATTTTATTTTCAGATGGAGCCCTTATTTTACTTGAAATGAGAAGAACATTTATTGATGTATTTCTATCAGTGGTGGGCCGTCAGGGCCAGCAAGGCCTTCTCTGCTGGCCTAAACAGAATCACAAAGTTATATCTATTTTATAATTTAATAATTGTTCTTAAATACACTACATGTATTGTAATTTATAAAAATATTTGTCCCATCATCTTATTTTCTCATTGCACAGCTACTGTCTTCCTCAGTTGTTTTAAGTAGAGCTTTTATCCAATCAGAGTTCACCTCTGTGTCTCTAGGTAAGAAGAGAGGCAGAGGCCTGCAGACTCACACGTGCATCCATGTGCAGTTTAAGTGAATGGGGACGATATTGTTGATTGACATAGTGTTCAACCAATCAGATCTTTAGTTTGACATGTTGGGCGTATTCTTGTGGTAGCTAAACTGTGAAGAAATAAAGAGACAGTGTGAGAGGTCATGAGGTGGTCAGGAGTTATCTGCATATTTAAATCAAACAAACAAATTACACTGAAGTGACAATTGTCCAGACACATCAAATCAGTGGAGCTTCCAGTTCCAGCTTTGTGTAGCATGATTACTAAACTGTCCCGCCCCTCCCATGTCACAGATATTTCTTGACTACATGTTTCAGCAGAAAAAGAGTACATGAAAATAAGGAAGTTAAATATTTTCAAAATGCTGTTTCATTATGACCAAAACAGACTTTAGACACGTCTGTGTTTTGTGCCCTTGGCCGGTTCCTTCACTGATGCCTACACCGGGCAGGTAGGAGCTCGCTGTCCCGCTCAAGGACACTTCAGCAGCAGGACACATGGACGTGGACGGACACGCTGTCTGCTTTACCGTAAGTCTCTGTGAATCACAAACTCTCCCACAGGTGTTTTCCCCACCTGACTCTTGTCTCGGCTTCTGTCTCTTTACTTTTCCTCTGCAATGTCCTTATCAGCTGGGTTGCATAACACAGACTGGACGTGTACAGTGGAGGGACGTCGAATTAGTGAGTAATGTCAAGGGTCCTTTACGTCACTACCATGTGAACTGGCTTTAAATGAGTTCATGCGATGAATATTTTGTGATAAGGACAGAAGAAGGAATCAATGTGAGGAAAGAATTTGATTTTTCAGTCATTTTAAAATGTTATCTGGAGTCCGTTGCTCAATGATTAAACATTCTCATGCCTTCTGAAATGTGGCTCTTTTAGAAGGCACATATTTTTTGGCTGGATGTCAGATTTTGAAACAAAACCATGCGAACGCACCAGATGTGAATTTTTCCACTCAAGTTGTCTCATATCTGTCTTGTACTGCCAACATGTTGAGTTCACAGTACACATATCCAAAAAGCTGGTTTCAATTTAGCTGCTTTGCTGATTGCGGGCTCGCCCCCCCGACAAACAAATACAAAGAGGAAGCTGGAACACCCGGTGGACGCCGGCGGCTTCCTCTTGAGACTCCATCTTGAGCTGTCAATTTAGAACTAATTTCATTGTGTTTTCTTTTCATATCTTCACTCTGTAGATATTCTCACAACATTTACAGGAAAAAAGTGACACAGTGACAAAATATAATTATGAAAAAAGACATATTCTGAAGGTCAGATGGCATAACACAAACAAAGAATCAATAAAACTTTACCATATTGGGTAATAGGAAAGTAAAAGCTCTTAAAGTCTGACAACAAAAAATAGAGCCACATTTATTGAGGAGGGAAAATCTCTAAAACAATGTTCAAATATTACAGCTAGAGTGTGTTGTGATGTATAACTGGTAAAACGTGTGAGGTAAAGCATTGGCAATTGTTTTCTGTAAATCCTCTGGCTGCTTTACATATAAAATACATGAAATATTCTCTGGTTCCAGCTTCTTAAATGTGAGGCTTTGCCGCTTTCCTCTGTTTTATATAATCATAAACTAAATACATTTATAGTTTTAGACAAAGCAAGCCCTTTGTTCTGTCATCTTGTGAATTTTCTAACATATTATAAATGAATGGATAAGACAGCTCATCACAAAAACAATTAACTTAATGGACTCTACAGACAGACAGAACCAAAAACCAAAACCGGGCAGAGTTTGTAAACTGAACACAAGTTTATATGTCATAAACATGCACGGTTGTCTTCTGCTATCTCCATGCTGGCGTGGGAAACGGAGCAGCCGTTGAAACACACCTCGGTCAACTTAAGCAAGGTTGTGGGTTTGAACACGTGACCCCGCTACGCTCGGCCATAAAAGCCTGTGTTTGGGCCCCGCCAGGTTCACACCACTGGGTCAGGATGAGGGGGCTGCTCGCACTCACCGCGCTGTTTGTGGCCGTTCTCGGCAAGGAGACGTTTGAGGGGTAAGTGGGTCTGCCAGAGACGCTGTGAGTGATCTGTACGTGTACAGCAATGTGAAATAATAATGACTCAATATGTAGCACCTATAATATGTATTATTGTAAACTAAAGGCAACAGTTGATAGCTGCCAATGTCAACTTGTTTCAGATAACTCCAGTTTTATAATAAATGCAGTGGCTTATATTTTTTTGAGGAAGTTTCAGCAGAGACGTGTCAGTCTTACTTCACCCCGTGTGAGCCAACTTCTCTCTGGGTCTGGGCGGTCTGAGTTGAGTCAAAGGATGTAAAACTTTGTGGTTCTCTTTTCAGTCATCAGGTGCTTCGCATCACTGCACAGGATGAAGTCCAGCTGGCTCTTATCAAGGACCTGGAGGACATGGTCGAGTTCGAGGTCAGTTATTCCACACTAACACTAATTCTAAATAATAACACAAATCTTCAAATGAGTGACAGTTAAACCGTTGTTCCGAGGACTTGATATGTTGTATGATATCTGTGTTTTCTTCCAGCTGGACTTCTGGAGGGGGGTGACCGATGTGACGACTCCCGTGGATATCAGAGTTCCCTTCCACAGCCTGCAGTCCGTCAAAATCCACCTGGAGAGTCTGCAAATCGAGTACTCCATCATGATCCAAGACCTTCAGGTACGAGACCTGCAAACAGAACTAAATCCACTGTGCTTAGAATTTGAGTGCTTCGGGAGTCTGAAGCAGATTTCGGGCCAAAGCTATAAATACATGTTATATGTGCTGTACTCAAATGTTGTCATCCTGCAGGCGATGCTGGATGCGGAGCAGGAGGAGATGGAGTCTGCTGCTCGTGTCGCTGAGCCCAGAAACACGGACAGCTTCGATTTCTCCAGCTACCACCCCATCAACGAGGTCAGTACGCACGCTCACTGAAAGTATTAATACTACAGACAACTTTCATTGAATACATTTCAACTCAATTCTTGGTTCTAACGTATTCAAATAAAAACAAATCAGGATGGTGTTTGTAGCATTCATACATAAGATAATGATAGTTTGCTATCTAGTGTCTGATTTTAACAATTACATTCATTCTATGTTTATTGTTATGATTGATTTTTGAGAAAGTGGAAAAATCTTTTTAGGTCACATAACACTAGAGAGACTAATAAAACCACTTGAAACCAAATGGGGCAACATTCCTGCAACTAATATAATTCACCAAAACTTCACGAGTCCACCCGTTACATGTTTGGGAACAAAGACATGCACCATTAAAAATCCATTCATCTATTTTCTGCCACTTGTCGGGGGCTCAGCAAGCTAGGCAAGGTAGTCCGGATGTCCCTCTCCGGTGGAGGCCAACATCCACAGAAAACCTTTTTAACTTCCTGCCGACAAGACGGACACATGTCTCACTCTGGTTAAATAAGGACCGGGTAGCTTGTAGCTCTGGGTGGATTAAGAGACTATAGGCCCCTGGGTGCTGACAGGCAAAAGGCTCCACGACCTCTCCTTCACACTAGACTTTATAGTTGTTTATCCTCTCTTTGTCGTAATTAAGGATCTCTCTGTGGTTTGTTGTCTCTTTGTGGTCGATTTTCCCTTTTTCATAGTCGTTGTGTGTTGTTTTGCATCTATTTGTAGTATTTTGAGTCTCGTTGCAGTGGTTTCGTATCTCTTTTAAGTCATTTTACATCTCTTTGTAGTTGTTTTGTGGTCATTTATGTCTTTAAGTAGTTGTTTTGTGTCTCTTTGTGGTCATCTGTTGTCTCTTTGCATCTGTTTTGCATCTGTTTGCAGTTGTTTTGGTCTCTTTGCAGTCTTGTTGTTATTCTTTGTGGTCAGTAATCTCTTCCGGGTTGGTGCGTGTCTCTTTGAGTGACATTTTGTCGGTGAAGCCAGGGGGGCCCCTGGGCCTGTGCCCTGTATGCCCGTTCATTAATCGGTCCATGCTCATAACAAAGGCTCCTCAGTGCAGCACCCCAACGAGACTTCTATGTTGCATCCCAAAGTGTTTCAACAACAGATTTAAACTCACTCAGGACCAACCAGTGCGATACAGAATGATGTCACAACCTTAAACCGTCTTTGTCTTTGGTTTAGATCTACAGTTTCCAGGACATGCTGGTGGCTGAGAATCCCAGCCTGGTCAGCAAGATTGTGATCGGTCAGAGCTACCAGGGTCGTCCCCTGAATGTGCTCAAGGTAAATAAAACAATGTATTTATTAAATCAATAAAAAAAATAAAAAAAATGAACGACCACAAATAGAACAACCCATTGTTCTTCATAAAGGGTCGTGGATAAGTTGAGCACTTGCTCCACAAACTGAAGAGATTTGTTCATGCTGACATCATGAGATGTTAAATAATAACAATTTTAAAAGTTTACTCGTAGTTTGACTGCTACTTTCCTCTCCTGTAGTTCAGCACCGGTGGAACCAACCGTCCCGCCATCTGGATCGACACTGGAATCCATTCCAGAGAGTGGGTCACTCAGGCCAGCGGCACGTGGTTCGCCAAAAAGGTGCTTTTGACAATTATCCCATTGTTCACTGTCTCCGCAGATCTTTTCACCACTGACCGGCGTCACACTGACTACCATGTTCTTGACATTTGTGTGAGTAGATTGTGACTGATTATGGACGTGAGACCGCTATCACCGCCATCCTCAACAAGATGGACATCTTCGTGGAGATTGTGACCAACCCCGATGGCTTCTACTACACTCACAACTCAGTGAGTCTCTCAGTGATAGATTTGTTTTACTGACTGATTTAAGAATGATTTCCTGCCACTTTCACATTTGTAATTGACAATATTCATTCATGGTACTTTTTTTTTAAGGCTCCGATAGGGTTTCTCGACCCTGTCGAGGTCCCGAAGTACACGTATAACACACGCGGTGATTTAAAAGTGACAAATTGTGATGAGCTACTCTGATGATTCCAGAACCGTATGTGGCGTAAGACCAGGAAGCCCAACCCCGGCACGAGCTGTGTGGGAGTCGACCCCAACAGGAACTGGGATGCTGGTTTTGGAGGTAAAGTCTGAAATCGACGAAGGCACCACATGTCATCCTCAATACTCATTTTTGAAACTCCAACTTTTGTCTCTGAATATTAGCCTCTTCCTCTGGCTCTGTAATTATTATTATCATCATTTTTTGTGTACACTGGCCCTGATATGTCATAATGATAAAAAGCCCTTAACAATACACATTTTTACACAAAAAACATTTGACCTGTATTTAATATTACTTTTTTAGTGACATTCTTTGCCGTCTGCCATTGCCACGCTCGATACTGCCACAAGATGATCCCAAAGTACCAAATGTTTAATTCCTACACGCAGTGGCTTTAATTAGCCCTGGCCAAAATGGCGGACACACTTACACAGATTTGCCTCAAATTGCTCACCAACACTCAGATGACACAAATCAAAATACATCAAATACATAACAAATATACTTTGATGATCACAACACATTTTTCTGACTCTGTTGTTATCTCTGTGTGTAGGAGCTGGTGCCAGCGGCAACCCCTGCTCAGAGACCTACCGAGGAAGCAGGGCTCACTCTGAGTCTGAGGTCAAGTCCATTGTGGACTTTGTGAAGTCCCACGGTAACTTCAAGGCCTTCATCTCCATCCATTCCTACTCTCAGATGCTGCTGTACCCCTACGGCTACACCAGGACTCCAGTCAAGGACCAGACCGAGCTGGTAGAAATCACACTCTTTGCCTTTAATGACTTGTTTTTTACCCAGAACTTCTATTATTTTTTACGATCAAACTGGGAAAACCGATTTCTTTTGGCTCATTAGCTTGTTGTATTTTTTACTGTTGTGTCAGAAATGTAAGAATATGCAGCAATATGAGAAGCTATAAATAGAGGTTCATATGTGATTGTGGTGATCTCTTCCCACAGCACAATCTGGCTAAGAAGGCCATCACTGACCTGGCTTCTCTGTACGGTACCAGGTACAGATACGGCAGCATCATCAACACCATCTGTAAGTCGGAAGTATTTCAATTCCACAAACTGTTTCTTCACTCAACTGTTCTTACGATATCTTACGAACAGTTAGCCCTCATTTTTCACTGTTTTTTCTATGAAAGCCAGAAGAAATGTGGGCTTTTATGGTCTTCATACTTTTTATTTTCGTGGTGGTGACGTGAAGTCATGCGACCTTGGTGTAGTTTGTTTCCAGCCTAACGTTATCTTTTTACTGCTGACGATTGTATTTATCCTTCAAAAATCATAAAAGTTTGTTCATTTGTAAAAGAGTATCATAAACATTGTTTGCCAAAGACTTCATTTTTTGCAATAATCCAAAATCCATTGGAAAATCCCATTGTCTTTTTGAACCAGCGCGAAGCTAACTTCCTGGTTGGCCTACAGAAACAAAGTCCTCCCTGCAGCACTCTATTATGGCTGCCACCTATACAGAAATACTCTAACAGTACCTGTTTCAATCGTAGACCAAGCCAGCGGCGGCACCATCGACTGGACCTACAACCAGGGCATCAAGTACTCCTACACCTTCGAGCTGAGGGACACTGGCCGTTACGGCTTCATCCTGCCGGCCAGTCAGATCCTCCCCACTGCCCAGGAGACTTGGCTGGCTCTGATGGCGATCATGGACCACACCTTCAAGAACACCTACTAATATGTGTGTGTGTGTGTTCAATTGGAAGTCCCTGTGGAGAGGATATTGTTGGCAAACATCATCTGTAAATACGTCAGCATACGTCATGACTCTTCGGACAATGAAAATCACAGACGAATAAATAAGCACACTTGAAAACTTCATGATTTCAAATCTTTTTAATTGGGTGCACGTTGTCCATGTTTATGCACATAAGACATGTCCTCATTTCACACCTTTCTGTATTATTTACACATCCTTTAAACCTCTCTCTACTCAGAGCTGGTCAAAGAACATAAATAACTAAATACAGAGTATAAATCTCTCCCTATCTCATCCTGATCCTGTCACTTTTTGTGCCAATCTTATCTTATTCTTATGGGTAACAATTTTTCCTTGTTTACATTTCTGTTTTTACCCAGATGTGATCAGAGTAAGAGGATGTTACATTCCTCATCCAGTAAACTACTGAATTACATCAGCCTCTCTCTCAACAGAAGATTTAATTATAAGCCATTGAATATAAATCATTTAGCTGCTTTTGCGATTTGCTGTCAACATTTCGGACTCATTAAGACGAGGAAACGATACAGCAAACAATTATACACTTTATTTAACATTAATTTACAAAGAAAGTCATGTGATCTGATTGTTCATGTGAGTTAAGACTGACTGTCGTCCATACCTTCAATAAATGTACTTATAGACTGTGAGTGAATCCAGAGAAAACAGATCAACAATAAGTCACTAACATGCCATCAAATCCAAAGGCCACACATTAGCAATACTGTTCACCAATGCGTCCGTCACTGAAGTGCTGCTTGTGCTTCGGTTACAGCCAGTTTCCTTCCTTCAGTGACGCTGCGATAACGATCCGTCTGTCTGTCTGAAGGTGTCGGCTCATCAGTTAGTGTGATCGCAACTTACTTTAATCCACACACACACACAACCAGTCAGGTCACTGCATAAGAAGGCTGCTCATGAAGGCCGTCGGTTTAGGATTCACAACATGTGACAATGTGGAGGAAAATTACAAAAATACAGAAGAGCTTTTCTTAATTTTACAAAATGGATCAAGCTCTTTGACATTATATAAATTACATCTCATGTAATACATAGTTTCCCAGCATGTCCTTCATTTCACCAATGCCATTTTGTTTTTGTTGGCTGTCACACTGATGGAGTTAAGCTGGACCTCTCTGGACAAAATAATGTCCAAACAGATTTGAACAGAATGAAGTGATTATCTGTAATAGTGCGACATGAAAAATGTATTTGAGTGCAAAAAAACTCCATCGGTTCTCAGGTTCACAGACGAGGCACTGTGCAAACATTCACATATCAGCATTTATTAAATATAAGAGAAAAAAAACAAGCTTCAAGGGGAAAATACTTCAGTCTGACGTAATATCTCCAGAGGTGGAAGAGAACGCAGTATTACAATGAAACTAGATGTCGTTATGTTCGTTATGGACTTTGTGTTGGAGGTTTGTTTGTTTGTGTACATCTGCGTGGTTGGGGGGGGGTTATTTCCAGGGTCTGCTGCTCTGAACCCTGGCGATGTCCGTCCCAGATGCAGAGGAACTCTGTCGACTCCGAGCGCTGGAGGCTTTAGACGTGGAGCTGCTGCTGCTGCTGCTTGATGCGCGGCTGGACATGCAGCCTGCGGTGAACACACACACACACACACACACACACACACACACACACACATGCAAACACTGAACGGGAAGTGGTAGACGGGGCAAACGTAGCTTTTGAGAGTTCTTGTGCTCATAAATTTTGATTCATGACTTCATGGAGCAAAGCAATCAGGAGGGAAGGGCCATTGTACCGGGTCAATAGATACTTGAGTTAGTGGTTTCAATAATTGTGCCACAAGCACCAGTTTTTGTGTCTTGGCAGCTGTAAAAAACAAACGGTGGTCTTACTGTTGGAGTTACTGGGGATGAGTATCTCCTCCAGCTGCTCCTGGATCTTGGTGAGCTCGTCTGACGTGAACCGCCACCTCTTCTCTGCTGGTAGCGACGGCGGCGGCACAGAGCTCCTCTTCGCCCTCAGCGACGTGGGGGAGGACAGGCACGAGGTCGGGATGGAGCCCATCGTCATCCCTTCTGGAAACCTCTGAGCGATTACCTTTAAACCTGGGAGACGACAACATCCATCTGTCCTCCAAATACGATACTTAAGATGAAATCTATACTGCGGATTAGATTACTTTTAAAGGAAGCAACAACAATACTTTACCTCCAGACAGCAGGAACAGATTGTCAAACCCTCGTTGACACATGACGGTGGCTGCCTGGCTGGCCATCCTCTCATCCTCATCGTACATGATAATGATCTTCCCTGCTGTATTTTTCTACAAAGTGTGTGGGTTAAGTTCAGTTCACTGAGTTTCAAAAAGCCCTCACACTGATTTTGCGACATAAAAAGCCGGACAGGTCAATGTTTAGTGTTGCAGGATACGTATTCCAGCACACCTTTGGTGTAGGGGTTCATTGTTCGAGACAGCGTGGCGATGGGGAAACTGTGTGCTGTTGGAGAGAGAGAAACAACAAGACATATGTTTTGCATGAGAAGCCTGATGATCTGGCTTCATGTTTTATTTTTTTGTTAGTCACCTACCGCTGATAATGTGGCAGCAGTCGTATTGGTCGCGGTCCCGCACGTCCAGCAGCAGGTAGGGGCAGTCGGGGTAGGGCCTGTCAGCGAGCTCGGGGCGCGACACCGACTCGTTCTCCGTCTCCTGATGGTTCCTGTCCACGTTCAGCTCCCCCACACCACTAATAACACTGCAAGAGGCTCAAAGTTAGAGGCTGCAACACCTGTGTCGGAAATACAGAAATGTGTTGATTAAAGCTATGAGGAGCTTTCATTGAGAGTTGATTTTGGTGGTTCCTTGTGGACAAAAGCAGTAATGTTCCAGAGCACCAGAGTCCCTTTAGTTTAGAAAACCTCTCATTGTACTGCAGCATGGTCTGATAGTCCGCCACGCTCAGTCCTGGTTCTGGTTCTCCCATGCCTCCCTTCCCTCCAGCGGGCCCAGCAATACGGCTGTTTCTGGTGAACCATTGAACCATCAACGTGTCTGATTTTACAGGGAATCGGATCCGACGACAAGCATTAATAATAACTATGAAGAAATAAACAATATTCTCTCTGATGGTCTACTTATGTAGGTCATAAAGAGCCTTCAGTATGCGATTGAGACTGTTTCATAACCTTTTTAAAGTTTCATGTATACCATTACATTAATTTATTAATTGATATCGACTCTTCTTACAGGTTTGGCTTTTATAGACATTTATTGTGTTCTAGCACTCTGTATGTTAATAAGGAAGGTATAATGCACAGTTAGGTATCCAATATAAGAAAATAACGGACGAGATGAGGTCAGTCTTTGTTTATGACGCCAGAGTGACTCACTATATGCAGTGGCAACTTGGCAAAGAAACTGAAAGAAAGTCATTTATTTTATTTAAATCATTTCATGTTCCTTAAATTTCAGTTTTATGCAACTGTTGCTGGTGTGTTGAACCATTAATATAGCGTTAAATATAAGTATACTTAACGTAGCTTTACTTTTACTCTAAGGCAGGTTAGACAAACACATGCACGGATTTAGAGTGTTGATTAAACTCTTGAACGATTCCACTCTGTTGGCTAGTAAGACACATTTTCCATGGCAGCAATGGTGGACACACCCCTTCTATACCCTCTGGTACCGTTCTACTGTCTGTAACAGTCGGTGATAAGTCAGTAAAGGACAGTACGGATTAAAGCAAGGGAGGGGTTGTTCTCCCAAGTGTGAACGTGAAACCGGAGCCTCGAGGAGGAAGACGTGAGCATGGAGCGGAGCCAAACACTGTGCAGGTTCACCCAGCGCTGCCCCACTCTCTCTCTCCATCTGTCCTCCCCACAAGGTGCAGGTGACCCAACAGCTCTGCCATTACAGAGACCACAGATAGAGTTACACTCT